TTTTTACGGGCTCCTCTCGCATCCACCTCTGTGCCAGGCACGCCTCCAGGAAGCCCAGCTCCTGTCGGTGGCAAATCGTATTTAGAGACCACGATCTAGGTGAAGGGGTTGCCCATTGCTCTTGGGTGCCACTGCTCGCAGCCCTTCTCAGGGGACAGAGCCAGGTAATACATGTATGTGTGCACACGTACACTCACACACATGCACACGCATGCACACACTTAATCCAGGCACACTCACACATACACACACGCACACTCACGCATATGTAATGCGTGCACACACTTGATCTATGCACACACACATGCAAACACATGCACACTCACACACACATGCAAACACATGCACACTCACACACGCATGCACACACTTGATCCATGCACACTTACACATGCATGCATACGCACACACACGTGTGCACACACATGCACACACACGCACATACTAGATCCATGTACACTCACACATGCACTCACATGCACGCACATGTGTACACACACACTCACATATACATGCACATATGCACACACGAATGCTCACACGCAAACAAGGACACACACATTCACACTCACACATGTACATACACTTGTGCGTGCACGCACATATGCCCACACATGCATGTACTTGGTCCGTGCACACTCACATGTGCACTCACGCACACACGTGTGCACACTCACATGCACATATACACACACAGAAATGTTCACATGCACACACACATGCACACATTCACACTCACACATGCACACACATACACACGTATGCACACCCTCACACATGCACACTCACTGACACACACACACTCCCACGTACACATCTACACGGTCATCTCTATAATGAAAACCATGAGCTCTCGAAGTGCCTCAGCTGTGGTTCCACCCCACAGGGCTTACTCTGCATTTCTCTTCTCCCATCAGGCTGCCTTCTCCAGCAGTGGGGAGCTGGTTTCACCCCCAATTCATTGATCTCATCAATGCCCCGTGTGCCCCCCACTCTGGGCCAGTGTGGCTGTGGCGCCCCAGGTCCACCCTGGGACCCGCCCCACGCGAGGTTTTAGGACCGACTCTATCGAATCCATCGGAGGGAAAGGGAAGCGGGGGGGCGGAGATGTGAGCAGAGCTTGACTGTTCAGAAAACTTCTGGCCATTTCCGTGGGTGTGTGGGGGGCACTCCCTGAGGTCTCACTCTGGTTCCCCAACGAAAGCCACCTGGTGAGCCAGGGTGGGCACGGAGCGTGGGGGTGCTGGAGCCCAGAAACCGGACCCCCTACCTGCTAGTCCTCGCCTTCTCTGCCCTCAGGGTGACCCGGGAGGGCCTCCGGCCTGCCAGGTGCATGGTTCCTGAGGGCAGGTTGGTGTCCAGCTTCCCGGACTGGCCAGGGGTCTACACCCTCCTCTCTGCCTGTGTGAGCCGGCCCCAGCATTGGGGGCTCAGGCGGCTCCCCAGGCTCCCCTTCCAGGGGGCTTCTTCCTCCTCCTCCAACTCGTCCACCTCTTGGCTGTCTCCTGCGTCTGGTGGCTAAGCGATCTCTGGGCCAGCCTCAGTGGCTCTGCCTCCTGCGACCTCTGACCCTTGGCCCCTGACCTGCATGAGCCCCTGCAGCTCCCTCCTCCCAGGGGAGTGGAGGACAATGGCCACAGGCTAAGCCTGGAGGGAGACCCCGCTCCAGGCCTGCAGAGCCTGGGCTCGCACCCCAGTGCAGTCTCTTCCCCCCGTGGGGAAACTGAGGCAGAGAGGGTGCAGTTACCTGCTACGGTCACACGCAGGGCCTATTCCAGCGCTGGAAGTTCCCCTCGCTCACTGCACCTGCCCGGCCCCCTCCCTGCCCCCGCACCGCCCTCCCACAAACGCCCCGGCTTCCTCCCAGCGCCTGACTCGGCCGCGCCCGGGCTCCGCTTTGCATGGTCAGGGGCGCCCTCTGGTGGAGACTCGGGGAAGTGCAGCGCTCCGGAGGGAGAAGTCTCCATCGCTGCATAGAAAATCCAGGTTTCACACACCCTGGAATAATGGACTTAGCGGGGCTGCGAGGTACAAAACCAATACGCAAAAGTATTATTTTATTTCTAAATGCCAGCCATGAATATTGGAAGATTAACGCGAACATCAATACCCTTTACTACACAATAAAAAAATCAAACACCAGGAATACAGTTAATAGAAGGCATGCAAGATCTCTGCACCAAAAAGGACAAACCTTGCTGGAAGGAAATTTCAAAGCCCTCCGTAGGTGGAGCGACAGGAACACGGGCCATTTGCATCACCCTAGAGTGTTTCCTCACCTCTCGGTCACCTGCCTGAAGGGGCGGGGAGCAGACACCCTAGGGTGATACATCTTGCTTTGGGCCATGGTTACACAGGTGTGGAATCATCACAATTTATTGAACTGGACATTTCAGGTCTGTGAATTCTGTTTATTTAATTTTCTCTCAATAGAAAAAATATCTATACATTCAGTTCCCACTGGGACATACAAAGGGATTGGAAGTCATCAAGCCCACCCTCACAACCACATCGGAAATGCTGGGCAAAATGAAACGCAGCTGAACAGCCATCTGAGAACTGGGCTCACAGGGCAAAGCACTGCCCCCAAACCGGACAGACGGGTGGCCACTCGGGAGGCTGAGGTGGGAGGATCGCTTGAGCCTGGAAGGTTGAAGCTTCAGTGAGCTAGAATTGCACCGCTGCACTCCAGCCTGGGCAACAGAGCAAGATCCCATCTCAAAAAAAATAAATAAATAAAAACCTCTGCTCTAAAGAAACATTGTTAAGAGGATGAAAAGACAAACCACAGACTGGGAGAATATCTTTGCAAAACTCATATCTGATCAAAGGATGATTATCCAGAACATACCAAGAACTCTTTTTTTTTTTTTTGAGACGGAGTCTCGCTCTGTCGCCCAGGCTGGAGTGCAATGGCGCAATCTCAGCTCACTGCAAGCTCCGCCTCCCGGGTTCACGCCATTCTCCTGCCTCAGCCTCCCGAGTAGCTGGGACTACAGGCGCCCGCCACTGCGCCCGGCTAATTTTTTCTATTTTTAGTAGAGACGGGGTTTCACCATGGTCTCGATCTCCTGACCTTGTGATCCGCCCGCCTCGGCCTCCCAAAGTGCTGGGATTACAGGCTCGTGAGCCACCGCGCCCGGCCACCAAGAACTCTTAAAGTCAACATTAAAGAGAACAAGCAACCTGGCCGGGCGCGTAGTCACGCCGGTCATCCCAGCACGGTTGGAGGCTGAGGCGGGCGGATCACGAGGTCGAGGTCAGGAGATCGAGACCAGCCTGGCCAACATGGTGAAACCCTGTCTCTACCAAAAACATAAAAATTAGCTGGGCATGGTGGCGCATGCCTGTAATCCCAGCTACTCGGGAGGCTGAGGCAGGAGGATCACTTGAACCAGGGAGTTGGAGGTTGTGGTGAGCCAAGATCGTGCCACTGCACTCCAGCCTGGTGACAGAGCAAGACTCCGTCTCTAAATAAATAAATAAATAAATAAATAAATAAATAAATAAAAGCAATGAGCTATCGAGCCTTGAAAAGACATATCCATAGTTTCCAGAGATTGTGGAGGGGGAGAGGCAATGGAGCACGAGATTTTGAGGGGAGTGGATGTATTCTGCGTAATACAGTAACAGTGGACACATGACTTGTGCAATTGCCATGCACGACCCTCAGAACACAATGTACAACAGAGAGAGTAAACCCTCATGTAAACTGTGGACGTTAGTTAGTAATAATGTATCAATATTGCTCATCAGCTGTAGCAATGCACCACACTAATACAAAATGTTCATCACAGGAAACTCTGTGTGTGTGTCGGGGGGCGTGGGGGTTATACTATCTGTACTATCTGCCTAGTTGCCTGTAAACTTAAGACAGCTCTAAAAAATAAAGTGTATGGGCCGGGTGCGGTGGCTCACGCCTGTAATCCCAGCACTTTGGGAGGCCGAGGCAGGTGGATCATGAGGTCAGGAGATCGAGACCATCCTGGCTAACACGGTCAAACCCCGTCTCTACCAAAAATACAAAAAATTAGCCGGGTGAGGTGGCGGGCGCCTGTAGTCCCAGCTACTCGGGAGGCTGAGGCAGGAGACTGGCATGAACCTGGGAGGCAGAGCTTGCAGTGAGCCAAGATGGCGCCATTGCACTCCAGCCTGGGCGACAGAGCGAGACTCTGTCTTAATAATAATAATAATAATAATAATAATAATAAAATAAAAAATAAAGTATATGAATTCCAAAACACCATACAACTTCATGTGCAATTTCACCTTGGGACAACCTGATTTTAGTCTCCCCTGAAACCTTCTGTTACTGTAGCACACATCACACCTGTGTGTATTCCATAAACCACACAATACCTGCACTTACTTTACTGTTGTTGCTTCAAACTGTCAATTCTCTTTCCAATATTTTTTTAGAGAGAAAACTGTCTTACACAGTCACAGCTGTTTCCATTTCCAGAGCTTGTCTTCCCTTAGTTTAAGTCTAGATTTTCATCTCTTATCTTCTTTGTGCAGAATTTCCTTTCACTTTTTTTTTTTTTTTTTTTTTTGAGATGGAGTCTCGCTCTGTCCCCCAGGCTGGAGTGCAGTGGCGCGATCTCATGCCCGGCTAATTTTTTGTATTTTCAGTAGAGATGGGGTTTGACCGTGTTAGCCAGGATGGTCTCGATCTCCTGACCTTGTGATCCGCCCACCTCAGCCTCCCAAAGTGCTAGGATTACAGGTGTGAGCCACCATGCCTGGCCATGACTGATTTTCTTATTGGAGGGTCAATCTTTTTCATGCCTACTTTTTTTTTTTTTTTTTTTTTTCTTTTTTAAGACAGAGTCTCGCTTTGTTGCCAGACTAGAGTGCAGTGGCACAATCTCGGTTCACTGCAGCCTCTGACTCCCTGGTTCAAGCGATTCTCCTGCCTCAGTCTCCCGAGTAGCTGGGATTACATGCATGTGCCACCATGCCTGGCTAATTTTTATGTTTTTAGTAGAGACGGGGTTTCACCATGTGGGCCAGGATAGTCTCGATCTCCTGACCTCATGATCTGCCCTCCCAAAGTGGTGGGATTACAGGCGTGAGCCACTGCACACGGCCACCTGCTTGTTTTTGAGTAGCCCCCACGTCTCGTGAATACTCTGGAGTGTTCTGTTCCATGCTGGATTGTGTTATATTCCTTGACATCATTTTGGATGTGTTCTCACAGGCAGTTAAGTTACTTGCAATCATTTGGATCCGTCTGCGGTTTGCTTTTCAGCTTTGTGAGGGTGGGTCCAGAGAAGCCTTTGGTTTCAGGAAAATTTTCTCCCCTAGTACCCTTCGATACCCTTCTGAGGACTCTCCAATGACTGCCTCTGACAAGGTTTCTACACTTCGCTGGTGGGGACACGCAGTATTCCCCGCTCTGCAGGCACTCCTGGATTCCTCTGCCCACCTTCTTTGGTGGCTCTTGTTTCTGACGTGACTTCTGCGTCTCTGCATCTCCGGCACTGGGCCAAGGACGCCAGGGGACCCCCCTGCGGATGCCTCCGGGCATCTGTACAGTTCTCTCCTCTCCAGTTTTCTGTCTCATGAGTCCTTGCTGCCTGGGCCTCTCCACATGCCAAGGTCCATCTCTCCAGCCCACAAGCTCCTGGGACAGAGCTTCCCGTTGCTGCACTGAGTCCCGACATGGTCACTGTCATCTAACTCGGCTCCCCACCCTTCTCTCGGGGACATTGCCCCGTGTGGCCTCTTTCCCAATGTCTGTCAATGGCCTGGGACCCAGCCCTGCAGCACCCCAGGTGAGGGGCCGGGATCGGGGCAGGATGCCCAGGACTCGCCCTGATGGGCCCAGTGTTAGCCAAAGCCCTCGCATCCCCATGGTGCTGATTGGTCCGCATCCCAGGCCTGACCCAATCCGAGCGTTCCTAGGAGGAGGGACCAGAGGCCCTGACGCGGGGGTGCCAGAGCCCTCTGCACACCCCAGCCCTGGCGTCCCGCGTGTCCCCGGGTTCCCCCAGCCCTGGCGTCCCGTGTGTCCCTGGGTTCCCCCAGCCCTAGGGTCCCCTGAGTCTCTTCTTCACTGTCAACCCTGGTGTCTCCCGTGTCCCTGCCCCAACCTTATCCCTGGTGTCCCCCATCACCCCATCCCCTCACTTCCTGGGCTCCTGAGGGTCCCATCTTGCGGGCCTCGTTCATGGAACCAGGACGGGGCAGGTGGAAGCCTCTGGGGAGTCTGTCCAGAGAATGGATGAGGAGCAGGGTCGTGAGCAGGAGCGGTCTGGGCCACCCCTGCCTGTCCCCTGGGGATGCTGCCTGGAAGGAGTTCAGGTGGATATGGCCTCGGTGTGCAGCGTCAGCCCCAAACCAGGCTGGTCCCAGGCAGGGTGGGGGCAGGGGGAGCCCTGGAGTGGCCCTGTGTTGGCAGCTGGGGGACAGGTAGGGGGTCCTGGGGCTCAGAAGGGGAGGAGGTGGGCTGGAGGCCTCAGTGACCAGCAGGCCCAGGGGAGTTGGGAGGTGGGGTGGACGGACCTGTAGGGACAGTGTCAGTGCTGGATGGACGGAGAGCACAGGGAGCGGAGACCGGGGGTGAGACCATGGGGAGCTGGGTCTGGGCTGGAGGTGAGTCCGTGAGGAGCTGGGCTGGGTCTCCTGGGGTGAGTCCGTGGGGAGCTGGGTCTGGGCTGGAGGTGAGTACACAAAGAGCTGGGGCTGGGGCTGGGGTGAGTTCGTGGGGAGCTGGGCTGGGGCTGGGGTGAGTCCGTGGGGAGCCAGGCTGGGTCTCCTGGGGGTGAGTCTGTGAGGAGCTGGGCTGGGTCTCCTGGGGTCGCACCCCACTCCCGTCTGCTCCTCCCTCTGCGGATGAAGCGCAGATCCCATGATAATGAGGCACCTGCAGACCAGGGAACCTGCACGGACAGCCCCAGAGGTGGACATTGAGGACTTGTAGGAGGACTTGGGTCTCATACCGAGGGTGGAGAGCAGGGCCCCTTCCTGGCTGAAGACACTCCGTGCTGTCCCCTCTCAAGGCTGCTTCCTCATCTGACAAGATCTCTTGTGAGCCCCCCACCAAGTGAGTCGAGGAGGGCTGGCCCCACCCCTGTGGATTCGGAGTCCGTAGGAGAGGTGACACCTGTCATGTCCCCACCCCGTGGGCACCTTCCCATGTTTTGGAGGGTGGCCCATGGTCATGAGTTCCCCATCCCGTGTCCCTCTTGGGGAAACAGGTTTCGGGGCAACTGGTCTTGTAGCATGGGGCAGCCAGGCCGCCTGGGTGCAGCTGTGCCTGAAGGCCTCCTGGCACCGGGACAGGGCAGCTGATCCCACCAGCGGGAAGGTGGTGCGTTCCGGTGCTGGGATCCACCAGCTGACAGGCGGAGCTTCGAGCCTCCAGTGCTCAGCCCTCGGCAGGGCCTGCCTGGCAGCCCCACACACAGAGGGCATCAGGGTGGCGGGGGCACGTGTTACATGGGGGACCTGGGTCTGAGTCACCCACTTCCTCCGTATCTGGATGGGAGGGCGCAGCGCCCCTCCTCCACGCCATCCTGATCTGGAAGGATAAATGGGGAGGGGAAAGCCTGCTGGGTAGAAGGAACAGCGAGCGGCCAGGGTAAGTCCCCACTCTCAGAGACCCTGACATCAGCGCCACCTGGAGCAGAGTGGCCCAGCCTCACACTCAGAGCACCAAGACCCAGGCCCCCCGTCCCAGCTCCATTCTTCACCCCATAATCTACAGTCCACAGCCCTGCCCCGTGAGCCCCGGCCAGGCCCACGATGCCCCTCCTTGCTCCCCAGATGCTGAGCCTGCTGCTGCTGGCGCTGCCCGTCCTGGTGAGCCCGGCCCACGCGGCCCCTGGTGAGTCCCAGCCGGGGTCCACCCTGCCCCTCACCACATTCCACAGGCCAGGGCCTGGGTGGGTTCTGGGGAGGCTGGGCTGGCCCCCACACAGGGAAGGGCTGGGCCCAGGCGTGGGGCTGCTTCCTGGTCCTGAACTGGCTCCTGCCCCAGCCCCAGGCCAGGCCCTGCAGCGAGCGGGCATCGTCGGGGGGAAGGAGGCCCCCAGGAGCAAGTGGCCCTGGCAGGTGAGCCTGAGACTCCACGGCCAGTACTGGATGCACTTCTGTGGGGGCTCCCTCATCCACCCCCAGTGGGTGCTGACCGCAGCACACTGCGTGGGACCGTGAGTCTCCCGGGGCCTGGTGGGGTGGGCGAGGGCCGGATGTGTGCCCTGGCTCCCGGGTGCTCCTGGAGGCTGCCCAGGGCCCTGAATGGGAACCTCCGCTGGCCAGGGACGTCAAGGATCTGGCCGACCTCAGGGTGCAGCTGCGAGAGCAGCGCCTCTACTACCAGGACCAGCTGCTGCCGGTCAGCAGGATCATCATGCACCCGCAGTTCTACACTGTCCAGACCGGGGCGGACATTGCCCTGCTGGAGCTGGAGGAGCCCGTGAACGTCTCCAGCCATGTCCACATGGTCACCCTGCCCCCTGCCTCGGAGACTTTCCCCCCGGGGACACCGTGCTGGGTCACCGGCTGGGGTGACGTGGACAATGATGGTGGGGCTGGGGACAGTGGGAAGTGGGTGCTGGGTCTTAGCCACAGCCCAGCCCCTGGGCTCCCTCTGGCTCCGGGTGGTGGTTGCCGGGCCCCCTCCTGAGTCTGCATCCTCTTCCCCACCCGCAGTGCCCCTCCCACCGCCATTTCCCCTGAAGCAGGTGAGGGTCCCCATAATGGAAAACCACATTTGTGATGCGAAATACCACTCTGGCCTCTACACGGGAGACGACGTTCGCATCATCCGCGACGACATGCTGTGTGCCGGGAACAGCCGGAGGGACTCCTGCCAGGTGGGCCCTGCGTGCTCCCCGCCCCACACCACAGCCCCCATGCCCGGGCCTGGCCGGTGAGCACTGACCCCTGCCCTTCGCAGGGCGACTCCGGAGGGCCCCTGGTCTGCAAGGTGAATGGCACCTGGCTGCAGGCTGGTGTGGTCAGCTGGGACGAGGGCTGTGCCCAGCCCAACCGGCCCGGAATCTACACCCGCGTCACCTACTACTTGGACTGGATCCACCGCTACGTCCCCGAGAAGCCTTGAGCCAGGCCTGTGTCACCCGGGTCAGCGGAGGGCCAGCCCCTCCTGTCCAAAACACCACTGCTTCCGACCTAGGTGGCTACTGTCCCCCACACCTTCCCTGCCCCGTCCCAAGTGCCCCGTCCTGTCCTGAGCCCCCTGCTCTGTCCCGAGCCCCTTCCCCTGTCCTGAGCCCCCTCCCCTGTCCTGAACCTGACCCCTGCACGGGGCCCTCCGGCCCTGCCCTGCCCAGCTAGCTGGTGGTGGGTGCTAATCCTTCTGAGCGCTGGACCTCATTAAAGTGCATGAAAATCAATGGTGTGGGTTGCTGTTTCTGGTTGTGGATGTCACTGGGGGAGGCGGCGTCCACGTGTGCTGGGGACAGCTGCCAGGGCTGCGAGTTCCCAGCACCCAAGGCACAGCCATTCACTGTGGGATGGGGTCTCCTGGGCAGCCCTGGTCCCTGGGGATGACTTCTCCCCACACAATGCATCCAGCATTCAGGTCACACAGAGCCACTCCGGCAATTTAAAGATGATTGTAAAGGACAGCCAGGTCCTCATAACTGGGTCAAGAGAGAGCATGGTCACCGGGAGCCCTGGGGCTGCCCATCACGAGCCCCTACCCCGCGCTTCTCACAAGGTCTTCTCCCTGCCCCTCCGTCCAACGCTTTCGCTTTGCCCAGTTGTTTGCTTTGAGACAGGATCTTACTCTGTCATCCAGGCTGAAGTGCAGTGGTGTGATCAGGACTCACTGCAGCCTTGAACTCCTGGGCTCAAGCGATCCTCCCATCTTGGCCTCCTGTGCAGCTGGGATTACAGACGCCCGCCACCATGCCCGGCTAATTTTTGTTATTTTCAGGAGAGATGGGGTTTCACCATGTTGGCCAGGCTGGTCTTGAACTCCGGATCTCAAAGTGATCCGCCTGCCTCGGCCTCCCAAAGTGCCAGGATGACAGGCGTGAGCCACCGCACCTGGCCTGAGTTTCAGATTTTCAAATGCATTTTGAGGTCTTTCTCTACATCAGTACGTGAGCCCTTTGCGTCTGGCGAGTGTTGCATTTTATCCCAGGCTCTTGTTTGCGTTTTATATTTGAACATGATTATACTCATAAATGAAATGTGGGGCTGGGCTATTCTGGTTGAAAAAAACTCTCTAAAAAAAATTCACTCTTTCCTTCCAACTGTCAGATGCAGAGATGTGCATTCCGTCGGCCGGATCTCTGCAAATGACCTCTGTCCTCGAAAGGGGTGGACTCGACTCCCAGTGCCCTGTTCAGTCCCACGTGACCTCTGTCTCTCCAGCCCCTGGAGGGCGCGGGCAGAGGGGCACCAGGAGCCCATCCCTCGGCTCCTGTCCCGCAGGCCCAGCGTCTTGTTTATGAAGATCCATCTGGAACTCCGGCCCTCCTTCCTCCCTTTGGCCCATCCCACCTTCCAGGGATCACAGGGACAGCACGGGGTGACTCCCAGTGAGCACTGAGCCCCTAGAAGCACTTCCACACGCCAGCGACGGTTTTGTGGGGTGGGAGTCGGAGGCATGAGACCCCGAAGGGAAGCAACACGGCCCCTCAGGACGGGGTTTCCAGTGTAAGGGAAGGTGGACAGCAGGGGTCGGCCACTAGGTGGAGGGGGCAGGGCAGGCTCCAGTCCCAGAGCTTCCCAAATTAGATCCAAGATTCTCGGGAAGCTCACCGAAGCTCAGCCCGGTGACACTGGCGGAAGTGAGCGTCAGCTTCAGCAGGAAGGGTCTCTCAGGACGTGGCAGGCAGGTCGCCGGCCAGGGCTGCAGCCACCTGCGTTTTGACTGGGACGGGGAGACCTGCTCCAAGGTCACCCACGTGGCTGCTGGCAGGAGGCCCTGGTTCCCTGTCCCCTGGGGTATGAGGGGGAGGGTGGGGGGGGGGACAGGGTTCCTACTGAGGGGACAGCACCCAGGTGGCCAGGTTACTGCAGACAGAAGCAACCCCAGGTCTCCCAGGGTCCTGGGCTACAGGACCCCACCATGCTGGGGGCCACTGCCAGGGCCAGGCCCCCTCCCTGTTCCTCAGTTTGCTCTCCTGACAGTGGGGGAAGGCACCACGTCACAGGAATGTGGGGCTCACGGGATGGTGTGTGGAGCTTCCTTCTCCCCAGCAGGCCTGGAATCTGGGTGGTGTGGAACACCCTGCTGGGAGCGGTGTGCTGGGCCACAGGCAGAGAGACGGGGTCCCCAGGGCTGCAGGTGAATTGACTTGGGACAGGTGAGGGCCCTGAAGTCCCCGCCTGTGGGGACCTGGGGACAGCCCTCGAGGTCAGGACTAGAGGACCTGGTTCCATGAAGACCCTGCCCCTCAGGCTCCCTCCCCACTGGATGACATTGCCCTGGGTAGGGGTGCCCTGGGCCAGGGACTGGTGGCTCAGACCCTGCTCCCTTGTGTGGGGTGGGACTGTCCTGCCTCCCTCAAGGCAACCCCTCCAGGTGTGCCCCTGCCGTCAGGTGTGCAGCCGCCGTGAGGGAGGAGGGTGCCCAGTCGTGGGTGCACTGCTGGCCCCGCATGCGAAGGGAGAGGATGGTGTCCTTATTCGTCACCAGGAAAAACACTGAACCTACAGTTCGGAGCCTTGGCTGCCCCGTGCTGGCGTGCAGGAGGCCAGATGCTGGTGCGTGGTCAGGCAACTCCACCCCCGTGCCTCAGTTTCCCCACATCAAAGAGGGGATCCCTGACCTCGAGGGTCTCAGGCGGACCCTCCAGCCTGGCCTGTGATTTGGATCTGGGAGGGGGGGCAGAAAAGTCCTGGGCACTGCCCAGGGCCCCTAATCAGCTGGGTCATCAGGCTGGGGCGGCCAGGACGGTTAGGAAGGGCCAGTCCAGGCTGGGCCGCGAAACGGCGCCCATCTGATCTGCCGAGCGAGCACGGGACCTGCTGCCGGATGTGGGGACAGGACTTCTCAAAGGCTGGTTGTCACGAGGGCCTGAGCTGTCTCCATGGGGCTGCTGGGCCTTGATTGGGACCCTCCTGAGGAACCCCGAGGACTGGGCTCCCAGAGGATGAAGGAGAGGGGGCCAGTGTGCCCTGAGGGAACCGGGGAGGGCTTCTTGGAGGGGGCAGCACTGATAGGAACTTACCTCTCCCTCAGCCCTGGCCCCGCAGCAGACATAGGGTGAGAAGTGGTGCTTGCTTTCTGTCCTTCACCACTGTGCCCTTGGGCCTTGCCGGCCACTTAGTGCCAGGGCTGTGGCATCCACATGCGGATAAATGGAGGTGACGACCCTTCTTAGATGTGCAGAAAGAACAGGTGGGGCCATCTGTGGAGCTCCCGCCTCCTCCGTCCTCCTGCCCTGCCTGACAGCAGGTGTGTGGCCACCCCTACTCCCCACGCCCAGCAGGTCCAAGGGTCAGGCGGGCCCTCCTTCTTCTCCCTACAGTGGGCAGACACCATGGCCCTCGGGGCCCGTGGCCTCCTGCTGCTCCTGGCTGTGCCCGGTGGGTGTCCTGGTCTGGGTATGAGGATGGGGGGGCATCTGCTTCCTGCCTGGACCCCTGGTGGGGGTGAAGCTGGGGGCTGGCCTGAGGGAGGGAGGAACACGCTGAGCCCCCACTCTGTGGGGCCCCATGTCTCCTCTGAGAAGACTGCACCCCTGGCTGGAGGCCCGGCTGTCCGTGCCTGGGGACAGAGGCAGGAGGGAGGTGTGGGTGGGAGTTGGTGGTGTCGGGAGTCCCAGGACCCAGAATACTGGTGATTTCTCTCCTGAGCAGGACCTGGAGGGTAGGGAGGAGGCCCAGGCCTGAGGCCAAACTCCCGGCCTCCAGCTGCCGTTTATGGCCTGCGGCTGGTTCCACCCAGCCCTGGGCCAGCGAGACAGCGGCTGACCCAGCCTCTCCAGGCCGGGCCCCTCCGCTCAGGGCCAGGGCCCACCCCAGTGTCACCCTGAGGCCTGGCAGGTGTCTGGCAGGGGCCTCTGGAGCCTGCACACCCCTCCCCTCGGCAGCCCCCCTCCATCCTGGGCCCTCCGTCTCTTTCCTGCAGGTGTGTCCCTCAGGGCTTTGCAGCCAGGTACATCTCCAACAGGTGTGCGGTGTGGGGGTGGGTGCAGGCAAGGCCTGGCAGGGGGGCCTTGGAGACGACCCTCTCCTTCCCTGGGAGTCCCACTGGGGAGGCCATAGTTTGTGAGGTGGTTTCCGCTCACATCTCTCGGTTGAGGGAGGCTGGCCGGGGTCTGCTGCCGGGGCTGTCTCCCCCACCACTGCGGTCAGTTTGTGCCTTGGGAGATGCTTTGAGGCCGTGAAAACCACCTGGCCCTCCTTGAACTTCCTCCCCGCAGGGTCCCCACTGTGGCCCAGGACCCAGCTGGGGGCTCTGCTGTGCAGGAGAGCCCATGCCCCACGCCCAGACCCACTCCCTATCTATAAATCGCTACGTCTGTCTACAGCCCAGCTTCCCTTCCATTCAGCCGAGTGGCCACACTCCATTGCCAGCAAAATTATCCAGCTCAGGCGGCCCCAGGTGCGGCCGGTGGGCCTCAAGCCGACTTCCTCTTAATTTCTTTCTAATTTACTGAGGTGAAGTTCACAGAAGATAAAGTTACATTATCAAGCGTCCAATTCAGAGACCCTGAGCACCTTGGACAGTGTCGTGTACCCCCCAGTTCTATCCAGCTCCGAACATCTCCACCTCCCCTGAAGGAAAACTGCCCACCAGGCAGCCACTCCTGGCATCCCGGGCCTTCTCAGGGGCTCCACCGTTCTCTGAGCCCCTTTCTAGCTGCCCGGGAGCCCTGGTTAGTTTGTGGAGCACGGCACTTACAAACCGCAGCCTGTGCACCAGGCACGCTCACGGCTGCTGGCTGTCATTTCTGCTGCACCCGCGATGCTTGTGGGGAAGGCCGGCACACAGGGGAGCTGAAGAGGAAAGTCCCCAAGAAGGCAGGTGTGGTCAGGGAAGGCTTCCTGGAGGAAGCACAGTGGGCTTCTTGGGATCCCCACCCGCCACCCCTTCCTCCGACTTAGGGTGTGGCCAGCCGCAGCATTCGGGTGCAGGAGGCCGGATCGTGGGGGGCCATGCTGCCCGGGCTGGCGCATGGCCATGGCAGGCCAGCCTCCGCCTGCGGAGGGTGCACGTGTGTGGCGGGTCCCTGCTCAGCCCCCAGTGGGTGCTCACAGCTGCCCACTGCTTCTCCGGGTGAGTGTCTGGCTGGGCAGGGGCAGTCTGAACGTCCAGGCCTGAGTGGGGCCTATGCCAGCGCACAGGCCTCCACTGAGTCTTGACTCACTCTGAGGCTTGGGAACTCTGAGCCTGTTCCCTTCCAGTGGAAAGGGAGGAGCCGGCTGCCCACTCTCTGTGAGGTTCTGCCGTCTCTGCTCACCTCTAGGGACCGACAGTGCCCTCCCGCGCCCCCGCCGCTGTCTCTTCATGTGAAACTGAGCTTGCAGTCTGTCTCCTGACCAGCCCCTGCTGCTCTCGGGTGTGCTGCTGGCTTTTCCGGGCACTGGCAGGAACCCCAAGGTGCTGCCGTGGTCCTTGGACCCTGGAGGTCGAGGCCACTGCCCAGGATTTGTGTGTCCCGAGCCCAGGAAGGAAGAGCTGGGCTTCAGATGCCCGCAGGGGTGGGGTCTGGGCAGGGCCAATGCTGACCTCCGGCCTCTGCAGCCGGCCCCTCTCAGGACACTGATGCCCGCAACACCCACCCACCTTCCCTCCCAGGTCCCTGAACTCTTCCGATTACCAGGTGCACCTGGGGGAGCTGGAGATCACTCTGTCTCCCCACTTCTCCACCGTGAGGCAGATCATCCTGCACTCCAGCCCCTCAGGACCGCCGGGGTCCAGCGGGGACATCGCCCTGGTGCAACTCAGTGTCCCCGTGACCCTCTCCAGCCGGATCCTGCCCGTCTGCCTCCCGGAGGCCTCAGATGACTTCTGCCCTGGGAGCCGGTGCTGGGTGACTGGCTGGGGCCACACGCGGGAGGGAGGTGAGGAGCCTGCGTGGGGATGCTGGGATGGAGGGAGGCAAGGGCAGCTGGAAGAGAGCTGGCTTGAGGGACGCTGATGCCACCACTTGCTCCTGGTGGTCTCCACACCCGGCCAAGGCCGCCCCCATCGGCTGTCCCTTTTCAAAGCCTATCGTGAGGGTTCAGAGCAGCTGCCAAACATCAGATCACAACCCACGTGCCATGACGAGGGTCACAGTTGTATTGGACTTGTGTCTGGCAAGGTCTCCCATCCCCCCAGGGCAAGGCCTGGTGCTCCAACCTTCCCTGAAGCCTGTCTCCCCCACCCCAGAGCCTCTGCCACCCCCGTACAGCCTTCAGGAGGTGGAAGTCTCCGTGGTGGACACAGAGACCTGCCGCCGGGACTACCCTGGCCCTGGGGGCAGCATCCTTCAGCCTGACATGTTGTGCGCCCAGGGCCCCGGGGATGCCTGCCAGGTGAGCCCGCCAGGCCGTGACAGAGGATGGGGGTGGGTGCAGCCCAGGGAGGGGCTCCCCATGCTCGCCTTCTCTGTCCTCAGGATGACTCCGGGGGGCCCCTGGTCTGCCAGGTGAACGGTACCTGGGTGCAGGCTGGCATCGTGAGCTGGGGTGAGGGCTGCGGCCGCCCCAACAGGCCAGGAGTCTACACCCGTGTCCCTGCCTACGTGAGCTGGATCCGCCGCCACACCACAGCCTCAGGGGGCCCAGGGTCTGGGTACCCCAGGCTCCCCCTCCTGGCTGGCTTCTTCCTCCCCAGCCTCTTCCTTCTGCTAGTCTCCTGTGTTCTGCTGGCCAAGTGCCTGCTGTGCCCGTCTGGGGATGGCGCTCCCTTCCCCGCCCCTGACTGCCGGCAGGAATCCAAGCGCATTTCTTAAATAAGTTACTATTTATTCCGCTCCGCCCCCTCCCTCTCCCTTGAGAAGCTGAGTCTTCCGCATCAGATTATTGCAACATTTAACCTGAATTTAAAAGCACACAAAACAAACGTGTCAACGGGAATCTCACGGCCAAAGCCCCCAGATGGAGGGGAGGCCCGATTTGCGTTGGCGCCGGGCGCGTTACTCGACGGAGTCGGCTCCTTAGTGATGTGATGTCACCATCTCCCAGAGTCACAGGACGCTTCCGGGAAGGCCCGAGCGGAACGGAAAGGGTGGTGGCTGGAAGGGGAGGGTGGTGAGGGCGTGACAGGCGGACAAGAACTCAGACTGTGAGTGAAGGTGGCCTTGGGCTGCGGTGGCCGCACCTGCTGCCGGCAAGGGCCCAGGCCCCCAGTGAGTGTCCTGTAACAATGCGTGGCCTGAGAGGACGCAGCCGGGTACCTTCCCCTCTCTGGCGGGTGCCTGGTCTTCGTCCCACAAACACAGCTTCTCTCACGATGGGACGCTGACCCAGCCGCCCGCACAGCCTCGGCTGGCAGCAAAACTCCAAGAAGCCCGAACCAGAACGGACGGGGGCTCGCGGGGCCCAGCAGCCACTCCTGCTTCACTGGGCAGAGAACCAGGGCCTGGACTGTCATCCTCCCCGGGCCTCTCTGCTCACGATGGGACCCAAGTCAGGGTCCACGCACGGCTCCGCCTGGGCCACCACCCCAGCGGGGCCCCCAGACCCCAGTGCCAAAGCGCTGTGCGGCACCAAGCCCCGAGCTACACGGGGTCATCTGTACCATCCCCTGGGGCAGGGGTGGCTGAGGGGGACCCTGGTTTCTCCAGAGGACACTGGGGGACTGTGAGGTACAGCCCCCGCCTCTTCTCTGGGGGGTCACTGAGAGGCATGAGAGGCTCTGTTTCTGGGGGTTCCAGGGGCACTATGGCCCCTGAAGAGGAAGCTCTGGGTTCGGGGGTCACGCTGTGGCTACCATCCAAGAAAGGGTCTCCACTGGGGCCCCCGAGGTCCAGTGGCTCGAAGGCAAAGCTGGGGACGGTCAGGTGCTCGGCCCGGCAGGAGGCCTGGCCCCAGCGCTCCCCCTTGGCTGCAGGGTCCCCTCCGGTGCCTGAGCCCTCTGTGGGCTCCAGGGAGTCCCTGTGAGGGGTGGCCTCACAGGACGGGGTTCTGCGCCTCAGGGTGGTGCTGCCGCCCTCCGCTGCAGGGGGCCGCGCGGAGCCCTCATCCTCCGCAGGGGGTTCCACCGAGATGCAGGGGGGGCTCATCTTCTTCTTTCTGCGCGCACCCAGAGCGGGCTCGGCCTCGGGGCCCCAGGCCTTGGCCTCCCCAGGCTCCCCGCTGCCCAGCTCCGCTGAGGGCCGCCACTGCTCGTCCGCCCGGCCCGGCTTGTCCAGGAAGCCCTGAGCGTCCACGCTGTAGAGCCTGCGCAGGTCCCGCTCGCTGCCGGCCACTGGAGAGGCTTCGGGGCCCTGGGGCTCGGCCGTGGGCTGCCAGGGGCAGGCAGAGCTGGTGATGTGGCTGACCTCCTCGTCGGCTGGGTCCGAGGCCTCGGCCTCCTCTCCGCCTGGAGCTGCCGTCCGGCTGGAGACGCAGCGCTGTCCAGAGGTGTGCTTCCGGGTGCGGATGCTGGCAGGCCGTGGGGAGCGTGGGGGAGACTGCAGGGAGCCCCCCTGGGACACCGGCCTCACCAGGGTTTTCTCGCCAGTCTCCGCAGGGTCCAGGGTGTCCCTAGGGCCGTCAATCTGCCCTTCCAAGGAATCAGCGCGCACGGCCTCCTGTAGGATGTGGAGGCAAAGTGAGGAGCACGAACCTGGGAGAGCCCTATCGGTGGCCAGGGCCCGGGGACCCCTCACCATCCAGGTCCTAGAGAGGCCAACGTGGGCAGGTCCCCTGGGTGGCTCCTGACCCTCGAGATGGGGCTGGAAGCCACTGGTGTGGACAGCCCAGTCTCACTCCTGACCTATGAGGCTCCTGGGGAAAGCCTGTACCCGCTACTCTGCAGGCAAAGATGCCACGGCCCCCAGGGGCACAGAGCTGAGGCTGAGGCCACCTCCCCACCCCGGGACACCAGCAGCCCAGCTGGGCACCCCCAGGATGGGGCTCTCCTAACTGCTCCATGCGGTACGGGGGTCTCGCACTGGGCAGCAAGAGGCAGGGAGAGGCAGGAAGAGGAGCTGAGGCTGCAAGTGGGTGAGGCTAGGACATCTGAGCACAAGCCAGGACCGGAGAAGCTGCTGTCTGCCCACCATGGGACATATGCCCACATGGGGCCTGGGAAATTGCTGTCTGCCTGTCGGGGGGGGCCTGAGAAACTGCTGTCTGCCCACCCTGGGGCCTGAGGCTGTGGGTCCAAGAAGATTCGGGTCCCCGTAGCCAGCAGCTCTGTAGCCACAGACAGGCTCACAGGCCTGAAGACCCACCTAGGCCCAATGCTCCGAGATCCACCAAGCAGCAGGCAGAAAACTTTAGAGCCCCAAGGACCCAGTGCCACCCTCCCTGGGCCTTGTCCTCATCTGCTGGTCCTTCAGATGAGAGAGGGCATCCCTGTAAGCCCCCGACCCCCGCCAGCCTCCACTGCAGGCAACAGCTTCTCCTACCTGTCTGCAGAGCAGCCGGCTGAGGCTGGGGGAGCGGGCTGTGCCCCGAGGGGACAGGGTGTGGAGGGTCTCGCTGCTCCTGGCTGGGGATGACACAGCCAATGGGATCTGGAGGGAGGCACAGGACTCCTCGGGCGGCGAGTGTGCAGAGGCCACAGAGCCTGGGGCAGGGGAGAATCTAAGCTGGCAGCTCTGCCCCTGCTTTCCTGTCCAGCTTCCACCCACCCCGTCCTCCCCCAACCTGCCCCCATCCTCCTTCCCGCCCAGCTTCCACCCACCCCGTCCTCCCCCAACCTGCCACCATCCTCCTTCCTGGCCAGCCCCGGCCCAACCCGTCCTCCCTCTCACCCGCCCACCCAGTCCTCCCCTCATCTGCCCACACCTGGCCTCCCCGACCTGGCCTCCATCCTCCCTCCTGCCTGCCCCCATCCTCCTTCCTGCCCACCCTCCCTCCTGCCCCACCCTGGCCTGCCCCATCCTCCTCCCTATCCGGCCATCCTCCCTCTCACTGCCCTGTCCTGCTTCCCACCCAGCCCGCGTCTTCCCGCTGGCCCCACCGGCTGCCGTACCCAGGGGGGTGCTGGCCCCATAGGTCTCCATCTCCACCTCCTGCAGCGGGCGGGGGTGGGGCGCCGAGGCAGGCACCACAGGCCGGAACATGTAGCTGTCGTTGGGCAGCGAGAGCATCCTGGACACGGACACCTTGCGTGCGACAAGGAGGTTTGGGGTGTCTCTGGTGCCCGGACTCTCCTGGGGCGAGGGAGGCCTGTCTGCATCCACCTGGCGTGCACCCCCAGGGCCCTGCGCTAGCTCCAGCTCGATCTCGGCGTCCAACTCTGCATCCTCGCGTGCCTCCTTGTTGCTCTCCTCCAGGTGCTTCATGAGCACGGCCACCACCACGTTCACCAGCACGAACTGGGCCACCAGCACAAAGGTCACGAAGTAGACGGGCGACAGCGCCGGCAGGTAGCTCAGGCAGTGCTTGTCCTCACGGGTGCACTCGCGCAGCGTGTCCTGCGGCGGGGGACAGCTGCAGGCTGGGGTCCACACCCACCTGTGGGCACTGCCCTGGGAGTGCCATCCCCTTCCCCCTGCCCGGCAAGGATGGACCCAGCGCAGTCCTGGGAAAACCTGAAACACCGCTGGGGCTGCCAGGTGCCAGAGTCACGGCCATGGCAGGTACCTTCATGATCCCGTTCCAGTTGTCCCCCGTGGACACTCGGAACAGTGTGAGGAAGGCCATGCCGAAGTTGCTGAAGGTGGCGTGCCTGCTCAGGCCCTCACAGGGGTTGTCTTCACTGCACTCTGAAGGGAGGGACACCCCGCCCGGTCAGCTGCGCCTGCTCTGGGTGGAGGCGGGACACACACCCAGCCTCCACATGCCCCCTGGGGAGCCCAGAGGCAGGGTCAGCCCAGAGGATGTGGATGAGGAGGCCCCGGTGGTTCGACCTGCCCAGCAGAGGCTGACCCTGGGTGTGACCTCCGGCCTCTGCTGCCGCACCTTGGCTGGGACTCATCAGGCCTGACGGCTGCGACCCCAAACCACGGAAGAAACATCATTGTCTGTGTCTGGGACTGTGCATGGTGGGGGGCAAGTGGGGGACTGTGCGTGGTGGGGGGCAAGCTTGCCCGGTGGACAGATGCTGGACTGTGACAATGTCACACCCGTCAGAACGGGGCTCGGGGGAGGGACCTGGCAGGGACTGGGCTGTCTGAAGTGGGACCCGGTACGGGCAGGGCTGGGCCATCTAAGGGGAGTCCCCCCTGCCCCGCCGAGCCTGGCCTAAGGAGGGTCCCCGCCTGTCCCGCCCAGCCTGGGCCGAGGCTGAGGCCTGGGTGGAGGCCTCAGGAGGCTACAGCCACCAGGTGAGGGGACACACCCAGCATTCGTCTCCAGGGACCACATGGCATTAGGGATGGCGGCGTGTGTTTCCAGATGTTTGTGTGTGCACGTCTTCACGTGTACTCGCTTCCCCTCGTGTGTGGCAGGCATCCGTGTCTGTGTTCCTGTGTGCACGTCCGCATACGTGTCACAAGCCTGGCTGCAGGCCTCTACGTCAACACAGGAGCCTCGGCCTCGTGCAGAAAAGGCTCGGACGCAGGCCCGGGTGAGGACGCCCAGTGGCTGTGTGGCCCCCGTCAGGCCCCGCACTGTTCGCAGGCATGTGACTGCGTTGTGAGTGGACGGGCACGGGGTGCCTGTCAGGACCCCGTGTGTGCCAGGAGGAGGGCGCAGGGGCCACTCACCCAGCCTCCCGAACAGCTCCACTCCCAGTGCAGCATAGATAAAAAACAGGAGCATGAAAAGAAGGCCCAGGTTGCCCACCTACATGAGAGAGAAGCAGAGCCGGGTCAGGCAGGCGGGCAGGGAGGCCCCAGCCCATGCTGCAGGGCATTCGGCGCCTCAGCCATCAGGCCCCACCTGCCCACCCTCTTCCAGGCGCTCCCAGCCCAAGCCAAGTGGAAGCAAGTTCCCAGAGCTGGGCGGGGAGCCCCGCTCCCCAGCCCCACGCCCCTTTTGGGGCTCCATGGCCTCACCAGGTAGACAGATACAACCTACCCCTCGGTGCTCGCCCACACTGGCTTCTCTCTTCCTCTGCCCTCCCCCTGAGCATCAGCCTCTGGCCCGGAGCCCACTCCACACTCTCTGCCCAGCAAGTTCCCCCAGGGCTCTGGCCCACCCTGTTCAGGGGCTACCTCAGAGATTCCATGGTGGGACCCAGACAAACGCGCAGCTGACTGAGGGGTCCTGGCAGGTGGCCTGGGCCTCACCCCTCCCCTGCCACAGCTCTCCTGGGAACCACCCCACCAGCCCAAGCATCTGCACACACTGCCCCGCCGGGCGGCGCACCCTCCAAGGCTGGCCAGGCCTGCCCTACTCCACGTCCCTCCTCTGCACAGCTGAGCACCTGGTGAAGCGGCACCGGG